TGTGAAAGTAACTCCCGTCCAGTGAGAGGCCTAATGCTCACTGGCCGACTTAGAAATGTTTTGCTGGGGAAGTTGAAATTCCTTTCTGCTCCCCAGAAGCCATAAATACACATCTTTTCATTTCTGAGCCAGAGGAGATCACTAACCCTCCCCTTTCCTCACACTTGCAGCTGGTGTGATGGTCTGGGTAGAGTTCTCCTTGAAACAAAGAGCTCCAGGGCGTTGTTTCCTAGAAAGGAAGCCGTCCAGAGGCGGCACCTGCTGCCCACATGTTCCTTCAGCTGAGTCAGGAAGTAACGGTGTTTTCCTCCCCTTTACGGGGCATTACTCGCCCTCCTGCACATGCTCACACATCCCTCGCCTACGCTGCTTTTCAGTGTTCCTTTGCTGAGGTTATTCCCAAACGATGGATTCAAGCCTGGTAACTGCACCTGCCTTCAAGGTCAACAACGGGCACTGTTCTGCAGTGGACTCAGTTAGGACCTCTGCACTAGTCAGAGACAGCCCGAGACGAGTGGCTGAGGCGGGCTCTGGTTGGCATCATCCTAAATCTAGCCGGCCTGGCCTTTACCCCTCTTTCAGGGGCCCACAGGGAAATTATGGCTCCTCTGGCCACTGTGACAGGCAGTAGGCCCTTGATGGATAGATGTCTGTGTGTGTGAATGAATGAAATGTCAGTTCTATTCCTCCAGGACCATACCTGCTGGAAAATAAAGAACACTGAATCCCAAAATGAGATCACTTGTAGCAACAGACGTGGTAACCGCAGAATTCAGAAATGAAGACCTACTGGCTTCTCTCTGTGCCGTTACTGCTTCCATCGGAGGTCAGTGAGCGGAGGACGAAGGCCGGAAGAGCAGTAGTGGAGTGAACCGGTTCTTTTCTCTGCTGCTCTCGTCCCTGTGCTGCTTCTACCACACTTCTTGTCATGACATGTTGTAATCAGTGATTTCCTTTCCTGTGTCCTCCTCGGTGCTGTGTAGACCTCAAGAGCAGGGACTGTCTCTTGATTGCTTGTTTTTCGTATAACCTCCGCATTTAGCACAATGTCTGATTCATAAGGGTAACTCAGCAAATTGTTGAATGACTGAATGAATGAATGAATGAATGAATGGAAAGGTTTTGAAAAGAAAAGAAAAAGGTAGGACTATGTAAAGGCTAAATGTTTGCAAAGCTCAAACATAGAAATTAGGCTCTGAGGATAGAGCACCCGCCCGTGGACTGATGGGTCGCAGGTTCAATTCTGGTCCAGGCCATGTACCTTGGTTGCAGGCTAGATCCCTGACCCAGGCCAGGGCGCGAGTGGGAGGCAACCAATCCATGCGTCTCTCTCACATTCATCTTTCTCTCTTTCTGTCCCTCCTCTTCCCTTCCACTCTGTCTAGAAATCAATGGAAAAATATCCTCGGGTGAGGATTAACAAAATAAATACATAGCCTGTACAAGGAAGAAAACATTTGCCAAAACCGTTGGCTCAGTCTCTGTAGAATTCGCCTCTCACGTTGGAATAAAAGCCAGTGGAGAGACTCCACTCTTCCCACTACAGGACTTAAATCATTTGGGCAGAACTCTTAGAAAAGCATGTGTACGATTTTAAAAAAGCCCATCTGGTAGTACAACATCAGTATGTATTTGGGAAACAAACTAACAAAACACAAAGCACACCGATCATTTTTATTACAACAATCTACGGAAAGTAAAGGTTTACAAAATCTTTTGGGCCAAAGGGTATATAAAACAGATTGATTTTTCCCATGTGGGGGCATCCAACCCCAGGAGGGACGTGAGATCTTTATGTTTATCTAACACAGCTTAGGTTTTAAAAGGCTGGGAAATAACTCGGCATGAATTTTATTTCTGTTCCCGAGGCTCGCTGCTTGTTCTGGAGAGTTGCAGAGTCAACAAAACCCGAGGGCTTTATTCCACAGGATCCTTTCTATTATTTACTCTGATCTGAGGAGCCTGGGGACATGGACACACAGTTCAACTGAGTTTTCCTGAGCTGACGGGAGCATGTATGATCGGCCTCCTCCGGCTCTAGGCATGGTACAGAGTTTAATGCCTCCTGCCCCTTTCCTTCAGCCACCCCCAGAGCACAAAGCCTGTTAACCTTCATCTAGGCACCTTTTCCCTCTCCACTGGCCATGTAACAACTAGATGCCAAGCCACCCAGTATTCAACTTTACCTACAACTCTAATGGCCACAGCCTTTTCAGATTGACAAGGTGCTACTACATATATGATCCTTTAGAGAAAGTGGGCAGTGAGCTTGAGAGCTGTACGGCAGGTGCAGAAATTGCCCATCCCACAGGCCAGCAGGTAGATGGTCATTCCCACTGCCTAGCAGAGAGGACCCTGAATCTCATCCAGTCCCTCCACCTCAGTACTAGTTTACAGGAAACATACAGGATAGAGAAAAACGCTAAATGATGCCAGGGGATCCCATCCGTGCCATGGGAGACATTTTAAGGACAGTGACCTGGTTTATTCAACAACTGGGTGCGGAAGAAGGGTGAGGGGAACTGTCATAAATGAAAAGAGACTTAGGGATAGATCCATCCAAGGCAATGTGTGGATTTTGCTTGGATCCCAAGTTAAACCAACTCACTGCCAAAAGACATTTGTCAGACGATCTGGGAAATTTAAGTACAATCTGAACATAAGATGATATTAAGGAATTGTTAATTTTTTTTAAGTTAACCCTGAATTCATTTGAACATTACTGTTAATTTTTATAAATGGATATTTTGTTATGTTAAACAAATTTGTTGTTTAGAGATACATACCAAAGTGTAAGTGGGAGAAAGAGAATGATGTCTAGGATTTGCTTTGAACCCCTCCAGCAAAAACAAACACACCAAACAAAACAGGAGTGTGTGTTTGTGTAGGAACCGAGCAAACAGAACTGGCGAAATAGGAACGTTGTGAAACTGGCTGACAGCTACCTGAGTGGTTTTCCAATTCCCCTGCTGCTAAGAATATTTGAAAATTTTTACAATAAAAAGAACAATCTTGATGTTAGAAAGAGAGAGAGCAGGAGGGACCTGACAGTGTTGCATTCTGCTGAGGGATGAGATGAATGAGTAAAATCTCCCATCAGCTTCGCGATTGGCGGTCACAGGAAATCTCGGGGGCGGGGGGGGGAGGGGGGCGTTGTTCTGAGGTCAGACAGGAGTGGAGGGGAATTTAGGGTTGGCCATGATTTTTTTCCCAATGGGAGAGACTTCAACTTTTAAAAATTGAATACAGTGAGAGCTTGAATAAACAAAAGAAAGAAAATGTAACCAATTAGATAAGGGTCCCAAGAAAGGAGGAGAGGATGAGAGACAATGGACAGGCAGGCATTGGCCTTGGCTAGGAGAGGGGCAGCTGCCCAAGTAGAAAGAAAAAGAAAGAGTGGATGCAGATGTAGGTACTCGGTATGTTTGGACCAAAAAGAGGAGAGATTTGCTCTCTTGATGACTTCTGTTTTCTGTATAAAGTAGGAGGAGATTCAGGATAGGAGGTATGTAAAAACCTAAATTTAAAAACCAAAAGAACAAGTAGATTTCAGAACAGTGTTGTTGACCAATTTATAATCATGTATGTTCTCCCCATGATACCATTTGTCCCAATAGCACTCAACTGTCAGGGTGCTGCTGAGAGAAAGAGAAACACTAGGTATATTCAGGTTGATGTTTTGCCTGACAGGATGCCAAAAAACGAATGAACAAACAAACAAACAAAAAACAGGCAGCTTAGGGTGTTGATAGGCGTTATTACTGAACGAAATAATCATGCAACTTAAGCTGGGTATAAACGGGTTGGTGGACTTCAAGAAAGCAGAAGGTTGAGGGATCAGAGTTCACAAAGAGGTCTGGGAATGTCACTTCGTGAGCCCAAAGAGGGCTGTTGTGGTTGGAGTAGGGGACGCTCCCATTAGCAAGTTCGGAGGTAGGCGTTTGTGAGTGATACGATGAACCAATGGTAAGAGGGAGTGGAGGAAGTAATCGGCTAATTGGATTGTAAGTCACTTGCAGCATTAATGGCAAGAGCAGAACTTTCTAACAGACCGCTCCCGAACATCTGCAGGCCCCAAATACCATGCCACTGTAGTACAGGGCCCTCGGAGAGAAAAGCAGCATTTTGCTGTCCTAGGCAGCAGTACACACAGATAATAACATTGTCTCCTAGAATTTTCAGAATCCCTTTGCCTAGATAGTCCATGCACTATTTGTCATCCTCACCATATTCTTATAATGCAAGGGGGGGTGGCAGATATGAAGAACTGTGGGACAGAAAGTCCATATTTGATTAAAGCAGGGTTCCCAGAAATGGACTCCCACTTGCCTTTTCAAGCTCAGAAAGAGTTGGCCAGGAGACCTCCTGGGCACGGAGGCTGGCCAGGACTCCCAGAGCCTAATGCCATGGCCTGACTCATGACTTTTCCTCTGGGCGGGTGAGCCCTTCCAAAGGGAAACCAGGCAACGTAGAGAGCAGTGCAACCTCGGGACAACTGCTCTCACACTAAGGTTCCCGCGTCCCCTCTGAGACCCAACTCCATGGCCAACTTGGTGCAACGCAGTAGGGCGGGGACCCTCCCACTGGGGGACATTGCTCTCGGCCACCCTGCTCCTGGGCTGGCCTCGGCCTCAGCCTGACATGCCATCTCCTTTCCTCCTTCCACCAATCGATCTTCTATCTCCCACTTGCACCCACTTTGTTCTCTGCTCTTTGCCACAGGTCAAGTTTCTGTCCACCCGTGGGTATCTGTCATCTTTTCTTTTCAACAATATGTACAGCTCAGTGCTGTGAACTGAACACGGAGCCCAGCAACAGAAAGCAGAGTGATAAAGACATTCCTCTTTCATTTCCCCGGAGAAGGACAAGTGAATCAGAAGAAATTGAAGCAAAATAAGAGAAAAAAACAACAACTAACATTTAAATATGACAATCTTGTTATTGCAAACACAAAGGGTTAGTCAAGTGCTTTACAAATGAAATGCTGCCTTCAGGCTAAATAATATGTATCTAGGCCTTCAAGGCCCAGGGAGTTGAGACCTTCTGTGTGAGGAGGGTCGGTTCTAGAAGGGGCTGCTGATGCTCAGGGCCCACTGCTAACTGAGGCACACACCACAGTTAAGCTCCAAAATCTCTCTTATCTCACACTTACCCTGAAGGCCAAGGAAAACCTTGGAAATACTAATGTACTCCCATTAGTTTTCATTATTAATAGGTAGACATACCAACCCACAGGGTTATAATCTATATATCATGAACTCTAGCCATAACTTGTCTTAGCAAGGTTGAACATAATAAATATTCTTTAAATCATTTTAGAACAATGATTATTCTTCCTGGAAATACTCAAAATATACCTCACCAAACTGTCATGTCACCTCCTCTCACCCGGGGAAGTTCCAGCCCAGCTCTGTTTTGTCCTTGATCTCCCGATTCCTATAGGCCTCAGTCCTATACTCTGTCCTAGAATTCAGTCTATTTTTAAGGCACATGTGAAAGTTCACCAATGAGTAAAACATTCTATACAGAAAAAAACAACTGTACTTTTCTATCTCATTTACAAAGGCCACGTTGAGTCTGGTTACCAACCAAAAGGAGATTATATTTCACGCTCCCATTAAATAAATCCATCAAGACTGTATCTCGGATTAGCATGGCTTCAGGATTTGGGCAATATTAGGTCCCTTCATGTCCTGGCTACAGAAGGTAGATCTGAGAAATTGAAAGGGGGAAAAAATGATATTAATAGGAATCCAAGGGAAAAAGACATGGGTAGATCTTTGAATGAATAAGTATTATTTTGTAAACATTTTTGCACAGATAGTATTCATTTCTCAAATAACGTTTCTTTATTTTAATTGCAAAATTTTAAGATGTACACATTTTTATACTCGTTGCAAATTTCAAATTATACGTGGGTATAATTTCAAATTCCACTTATGAAATTTAAACGAAGTTTGAAAATGCAAAGGGAAAAGTAATACTTACTCACGTCCATATTTCCCAGATATATCTACCACCATGCCTGCTCCCAACTTATTCCGGGAACGCCTAAATGAATGTTCCTTCCAGATGAACTCAATACTTGTGATGTTGCCAACATTAACTTCTGCATCAATTAATTTTGTATAGGTCATGCCGGGCTTAAGTGTTCCACTGTCAAGAGAGAAATAAGACTCATTCTCTTGCACTGGGAATTCAATCTCGCAGTGAAAGGCATCCGCATGTGTACCATGGAAGAGGAAGTTGCATTTTATAAGTCATTTGAAATTTTCACAAGTGAAAACAAATGCCGGTCTGTATAACATTAAAGGGACTGGGTAGCAGGATAACTCTCTCTCTCTTGCTGGCACTCCTGACAACTTTTCCCCACACACCTTATTGTCTGTGTCTGCGTTTTCATTTCCTCACACTGTCTGCTGGTAGCTTGAAGTAAAAAGACAAGTCACATAAAACATGGCAGCCTGTGGTATCAGAGGAAAAGGCGACACGGAGCTGCTCACCCAGCCAGTGAAACCGGGGCCCAGCACCATGTTCCCTGCCGGGCCTCGGCCTTGCCTACCTGGCCACCCCAAACTCCTCCGTCTTCCCAGTCGTCCCCCCGACACGGAGAAAGATGCTGCCCTGAGTGACATTGTTTCCATCGAGTGTGACAGACAATTTGTGCCTCCAACCTTGAAAGAGCAAGAGAGAGAATGAAGGGTTAAAACTATGCAAAAAGCATGCCATCCTGGCGTTTTCATGTAAATGAAACTTTGTAATGTTCAGGGTTAGAGTGGTACAAGGCTGCTCATGTTCATGAGAAAGAATACAACTTTAGATTGCTTGAGTGAATTTGGTGAAAAATGACATTCAAAAACAAAACAAAATAAGACAAAATCAATGAACAGAAAAAGAAAAATGGCCTTTTAGAGAAATAAAAAAGGGTACAGAATGTGAACAGAAAATCCACAGGAGAGGAAACTTGGTCAATAACTTGTAAGAAGATGCTCCATCTTACTGGTTGTCAGGGATGTGCTAATTAAAACAATGTGCACTTTCATACGGAGCAGATCTGCAAAAACGAAAACAACTGGCAGACCCAAGGACCAGGGGGGACATTGAGTGGGGATTCTCATTTGCTTCTGATGAGACTATCAATTCCACAGATAAGCGAGAGCATGTCTCTTTTCTTGTGCTAAAACATCAGAAAATGGCACATCGCCCACTCAGCCAGAATCACCGAGACTCATTTCCTGCACCCCTCAAATCCACTCTCCCCGCTCCTTTTTGCTGCCACCTCCTAACCATCTCTGTACTCTCTCCGCATCTCTCTACACTTCTGCCTGGATTCCTGTAACAACTGTCCTTTTTGTCCCCGCGTCCTACCCCCCAGCTTTGTTGGGGTAATACTTACAGATTACACTGGGATTTAAAGCACATAAGATGATTTGCTAGACTACAGATATTGTGGAATGATGAGCACAATACAGTTAGTTCACACATCCATCCCCTCCGTGGGGAGTCAACCCTGTCCTAACAGGTCGCCCTGCCTCCACCTTGTCCCCGCTGATCCCGGCAGCAACTCCTTCGACTGACTTTTTCTAAAATAAGCAAATCTGATCATCTTAATACCCTTCGGTGGCTTTCCCTGAGCCCAGAGACAGAGCCTTAAGCCCACGTGGTGCAGTTTCATTCTTTGACCCGTGTGTCTCTCAGCCTCCTCTCACACGACTCTCCTCCTGGTCTCTGTCACCCCCAGGGTCCCTCAGTGCCACCTGTGACCTCCAGGCAGTTCCTTCTCCTGCCACCGCTTTGAGGACTCAGGTTAGAAATCGCTTTCCCGCAGAAGCTCCCTGACCTGGCTATGGAAGTTCCCTCCTCTGTCTCCTAACACAAGTTTTACTGAAACTGAGATTTTTGTAGTTTTTGCACATCTTCCCCATTAGCCTAAACTCACACCGTTGTTCCTCAGGGCGTCCTCAAAGTCTGGCCCAGTGGCCACTTGTTTAGTAGACCCTCAGTAAAAACGGTCAGAGTTGAAAAGGTAAGAACCTTAAAGCTTTACAATAAAACTGAGCAGTAATACTTACGGGCAAATGGGGAAAGAGCCCCGGTGTTTAAGAAATAATACGGTCTATTAGGCTTCTTATTTTTGAGGTGAAATTTGTCAGCAAAATGACCCATCGTTGGGCAACCTTCTTCGGGACAATGGAAGCAATTTCCCTGGTGACAGAACACAAGAGGCAATCAGCAATATAATTAGAAATGTTGTCCTTCGGTAAATTCATGATGTATTATTAAACAATAATAAATCCTTAGAATTTAAATAAAGAATATGCATTTAAAAATGACTAAATTGACTAACAGGCTACCCTGCCTGTTTTCCAGAACAAAACAAAATAAGACAAAATCAATGAACAGAAAAAGAAAAATGGCCTTTTAGAGAAATTAAAAAGGGAAAGAATGTGAACAGAAAATCCACAGGAGAGAAAACTTAGTCAATAACGTGTAAGAAGATGCTCCATCTTACTGGTTGTCAGGGATGTGCTAATTAAAACAACGTGCACTTTCATACGGAGCAGATCTGCAAAAACAAAAACAACTGGCAGACCCAAGGACCGGGGGGACACTGAGTGGGGATTCTCATTTGCTTCTGATGAGACTATCAATTCACAGGCGTTGCAGACAGCGGTTTGGGAATGTCTGGTAAAGATGGAAATGCACATACACTTGGACAATCTCACTTCTCTTATGCTTCATCAAGCACCTTCCGCCAAGTCCAGCAGGAGACATGCACAGGTGGTTATTGCCGAACTGCTTTTAATAACATTAAAAACCACCCAAACACACATTAATGGGGGGGATGAATAAATAAACTGTGGCTGATTCCTACAAAATAAATATATAGCTCGATATACATCAACGTAGGTGTCAAATTTATAAAGTTTAACAACAACAACAAAAAGCAAATCCAGAAAGGTACTTAGAATATGATGCTATGTATTCTATATACTGTATATCTGATTCACTTCAAATTCTCCTTTAATGCAGGTAGTAAGGAAATATAAGCTACTTCAATTCTTTAATTATATCTGTATAAAATCTAAAGCAAAGGCCCTGGCTGGGTAGCTCGGTTGGTTAGACTGTCGTCCCAATATACCCAGGTTGCATGTTCCATCTCCGGTCAGGACACATACAGGAATCAACCAATGAATGCATACAGAAGTGGGACAACAAATCGATGTTTCTCACTCTCCCTCCCCCTCTCTTTCTAAAATAAAATTTTAAAAATCTAAAGCAAAACTAACAAGATGTTGACTTTAAAAATGCTTTGGTAGGAGTGTTTGAGTATTTTCTATTTTAGGTTTTGACGTTTCAAATTTATAAACTATGGACATTTGAGCTAGGACGACAGTAAAACACCCCATTTAAAACTTCATTTTCTATAAAGGAAAATTCTAACAAAAATAACAACGGCCTCCATTTCCTGAGTGCTGACCATGTGCCAGGCACCGTTCTAGGCACTTTCTGTGCATCCAACTCAACGAATCCTCACCAAGTCCCTTATTACTGTGATGCTCCCAGTCTCCGTTTTATACAGGTGAGGAAACTGAAGTCTGCACAGAAGTTCAACAATTTGTCCGATGTTGCACATCTGGTGGTGATGAAACAAGAATATGAACGGGGCAGCCTGATGCTGGAACCCCTCTTTATTTATTTTATTTTATTTTATTTTATTTTATTTTATTTTTATGACTGTTTGAGTTAAAATTCAATAAAACATGTCAAGGACATCGCCTCGATGTTCTCTAAGTTTGCAACCATAACTTGCATCCCTGTGGCACGGGAGGCTAAGGTTCTCCAATCGGGCAGATTGAACCCCATTATCTCTGAATACGCCGTGAGTCTGAAGGCCACCCCTATGGTAAATGCCCAGACCCTGTAGCCTCTCAGAGCAGCACCTGGGCTGGTGGGAGGGGAGGTGAGGAAAGGGAAGTTAGGGGGGAATGTCAGTGTATGGCTGCCCAGCTTTCTGAAAAGGGAAGTTCACCAGGGCACATTCAGAGTAAGGGACTGGTGAGGAAACAGGCTGAGGCATCCACTCCCCTTGCTCTGTAACAGGAGGGCAAGGCTTATTCCTCCCCAACCTTGCCCTCACTCACAAAGTGCTACTCCTCACAAGTGGAAGCCCTGTGATGTTTCTCTACCCCAGGGGTCCTCAAACTACAGCCCGAGGGCCACATGCAAATACAAATATTGTATTTGTTCCTGTTTTGTTTTTTTACTTCAAAATAAGATATGTGCAGTGTGCATAGGAATTTGTTCATAGTTTTTTTTAAACTATAGTCTGGCCCTCCAACGGTCTGAGGGACAGTGAACTGGCCCAGGACCCCTGCTCTACCCTGATCAAACAGTGGTCTCCAAACACAAGAGGGAACCTCTTTCCACTTCCCACTACACAACAGATTTCTTCCTCCTTTTCATAGCGACTACCAAGTGAAAAAAATGCTCCGCTCAGATCTGGCACCACGTGCTGTACGTTTCAAGTAATATCGGATTTGGTGTTGGTCACGTATTGATCTGTGTGGAGTTTCTGTGAGCCATCTATGCCCTCGTTCTGCTCGGTATAAATAATTAAATTTTAATAAAATAACTTTAATGTTCCCAGTGAATAGAAACACTTTTGGTTGTTGCTATTGATTGGTTCAGCTTTCTTGGGGCATCTTTGAAGATGACATTTAAAATATATACATAGAAAAATGTTTGCCCTGGACTTACCCTAGCATCTAATTACTGCATAACAAATAGCCCAAAAGAGCAAAATTGGATAGAACGTTCAGAAGAGCTGAAACAACCAGAATACAAATAGCTGGTTTACTTATTTGAGCCCTTCAGCAACCTCTGCTGCTGTTCAGTATTCAGCACAGAAAGAATCAACTATTTCCCAAAGTGGCAGGTGCATTTTTTTTTTTAACCACAAACTCAAAGCCCTAATTTTTAGTTGGCTGATCATGCTTCAACAAATGACTGGCTAATTAAATTGCACTGCAAAATGCCTTACTTACCACTTTAAAAGACTCGTAGGACCTACAAGGATAAGCAATAAACGCGTGGGGGTTGAGAATGCTTTCTGCATAAAAGCGATGACTTCGGGCATGGTTGCAATCAAAGAAGGAAGCCATTTCTGCGAAAACAATATCCCATGAACTGAGAGCAATGAACGGATTAACTGATAACTGAGATTATGAACCATTTCTTAGAAAAGTAACTTTAAATGACAGTTTCTTGACTCAGGTCTGGACAGCTGGACCATGTGTGTGTGCTTGGATGCTGCTCAAGGTTGATCAGTATTACCAAGCATTTTCTTTGTGCCAAAGAATTCTTTGTGTGAATCTAAAAGGACAGTCAAGCAGGGCAGATAAACAAATGCAAATGTAGATGACTCAGTGCTCTGACACTAATGTCCTCCTAGCTTCCCGGATCTCTGACATAAGCACTTAGAGCTTTGAGCATCGCCTTAGACCAAGTAATTTTGACTCCCTGACTGTAGGAAGGACCGAACTCCCTCCTATTCAAACACAGCACAGCCAGCACTGTTAACCATTGCCCACCTTCAGGGGAGCTTCAAGGTGTGGCAGGTGGGAGGTGCTATAAAAGATGCTAAAGACAGATTCGCATTGTCATTGTCAGGCATAACGTTACTGCCGCCAATATTTGGGATTATTGCCATAATCAATAAGATAGATCTCCATACATCTGTGCATTCTGAAGTTCTCATAGCATCCTAGTCATCTGTCTTCTTTACCTTCCTTAACACTTTTACTCTGTGGCAATGGACCATTATTCCTATGACCTACACAACTTGGTTGCTGCCCCAGGCCCTTTGCACTTGCTACCCCTCCCCTTAGCCTGGAATGCCTTTCCCCCAGGTATCCACGTGGCTAACTCCTTCACGTAATCTTTCTGGGAAGAACTCCCTGGCCACCTTATCAAAAATCTCCTTTCCCCACCTCACCCCTACGGTCAGCAACACATCATATTCCCGTTCCATGCTTGATGTTGTCTTCTTAGCACGTATTCTATTACTGCTTTTCTAGCAAATTAGAATATTGGCTTCACCAGAAAGATTTTTGTCTTTTGTATTCCGTCCTACACTGCTGTTCCTAGGACAACGCCTGGCTCAGAGTAAGATCCAATACCGCTGTACTGAATGAATGGACCCTCCTGGTGTATGCTGAGTGGCTACAATGGGCTGGACATGCTGCCGGGGACTGTGGGTACAGAGGCAACCAGGACAGGATGCTGACCTGCGGGTCTCACGAGTGTATGGAGATACATGTGACTATATTTTGGACTAAAATATATATATACATTTTTATTTTTGCCATTGATTTTTTAGAGAAAGTAGAAGGGAGAGGGAGAGACAGAGACAAACACCAATGTGAGAATGACACATCAATTGGCTGCCTCCCGCATGCCCACAACCAGGGCCAGAAGCCTGCAACCGAGGTACGTGCCCTTGACCAGAATCAAATCTGGGACCCTTCAGTCCTCAGGCCGATGACACTCTGTCCACTGAGCCAAACCAGCTAGTGTGGCTAAAATATATCATTATAATATAATACTTATTATATTATATTATATTAATTATATTTATTATATACAAAAGGATGTGGATCTTGTCCAAGTAGGGAGCTGAGTGAATGTGTAACAGCAGCCTTCATATTTCACAAGTACTTACCTTCCTTGTAAGCATTGAAATCAAATTTTAATAGAGGTGTAATTAAGTCTTCACATCCTGGCATATGTTTCCCTCCATTTGGGTAAAAGTCCAGGTGCCCACAAGCGTTGATTGTGCCGGCCCCTGAAATAGATATTAGAAGTAGGAGGAATGCTTTTCAAATTCTCCTCTTTGCTTCAGTGTAGCTCTGTTTGTGTTAAAAAAAAAAAAACTTTTACCAAACTCGAAGAGGAAGCGAGCTGCATTGGTGTGAATGACGTCGACAAAGCCGGCGTCCGAGGGGTCCAGCCTGACCTCGTTGGGGGTGTCGTGGAAACACGGCCCGGCAGGGTCCAGACCTAGGAAGCAGGTGCCTATTACACGGAGTCCCGTTCTGCTCAGGAGGGCCTACTCAGGAGCGCTTCTGGCACCCCACTGGGTGTTCAGATACTCGATTTTGTGCATAAAAATAACAGGTGAACACAGGCAAGGCCCAGCGGCAGGGCAGGCTTACCAGTTATTCTCCCGAGGCCTGGCGTCCGGGCCCCAGCCTCCCCGGCCAGGTGAGCTCCCAGGCTGTGGCCAATCAAGTGCACTTTAGAAGGGGGGTATCCAAATTGTTTCTGATGGGATGTTAAAAAGGAAAACAGAACAGACATTTTGAAAAGAGCCAGTAGAATGGCTTAACTCTGCTTAAAGTGGGAAAGGGGCTGGCACCCCCCACCCCAATCACATGCAGGATGGGGTCTGGCAAGGTGACAGCGACACCCACGCCCACCTCTGTGCTCATCTGGCTGAAGGAGAGCACACCAGGCAGGCCTGGAGGAAGCCTCTGCCAAGCCCCTGCCCTGTGCCGAGGGGCCACATGGGTACAGGAGAATGCCCAGGGGCAACCGCTGTGCTTCCAGCCCATGCCATCCCTCCCGAGGCCCGACCCTTCCCGCAGGGCCCCAACACCGGTCAAAGGCAGCTCCTGCCCTCACTGCTATCCACCCGTGTCCACCGCGCCCTGCCTGTTTCCTCCAGTTTAAGGCAACTCTAGCGAATGTCTGGGAAGACTTGGGACCTAGAGAGCCCATAGCTCAGACACCAGGACCAGTGAGAAAGTTCCCAAAAACTTAGGACCGGTTTTCCTCTGAGAAGGAGATTAGTCTGATTTCATTCTTTGTATAGAAAGACCCGCTCTAAGTGCCTCCTTAACATCTACTCTCCCCTGACAGAGTGGGGGCAGAGAGAGATTTGTGGGGGCAGAGGGAGACTTGTGGGGGCAGAGAGAGACTTGTGGGGGCAGAGGGAGACGTGTGGGGGCAGAGGGAGACGTATGGGGGGCAGAGGGAGATGTGGGGGGGGGCAGAGAGAGATTTGTGGGGGCAGAGGGAGACTTGTGGGGGCAGAGAGAGACTTGTGGAGCAGAGGGAAACATGTGGGGGGCAGAGGGGACGTGTGGGGGCAGAGAGAGACTTGTGGGGGGCAGAGGTGAGTATTGGCTCCCGATTCTGCTTGAGGCTGTTTCCTATCTGTGCTCAGTGTTCCCACATCACCTTCCCGGCCGCCCACCTGAGTTAGCTGCTGATCACATCCCTCTTCGTCCCCCTGCCTTGCACTTCCTCACAGCCCCGCCTGCACTCCGTGAGCAGACACTGTCCCGCTCACCATGAACCTGCAGTGCCCAGAACAGGGCCCGGCTCACAGCAAGCGCAGATAAAACACTTGTTGAATAATGAGTGAACCCTCCTCAAGAATCTGAAAGGGTCATAAATCTTTAGATTTGCCGAAACCGGTTTGGCTCAGTGGATAGAGCGTCAGCCTGCGGACTGAAAGGTCCCGGGTTCGATTCCGGTCAAGGGCATGTACCTGGGTTGCGGGCACATCCCCAATAGGAGATGTGCAGGAGGCAGCTGGTCGATGTTTCTCTCTCATCGATGTTTCTAACTCTCTATCTCTCTCCCTTCCTCTCTGTAAAAAATCAATAAAATATATTTAAAAAAAAAAAAAAAAAAATCTTTAGATTTACCTCCCTGCAGTTTGTAGTGGGACATTACTTTCTATAATGATAGAGCACTTGGACATTTGTAAGTGTCTCTGGGTATATCCCTTATAAATAGCAACGTCTATTTTATTCTTTTAGAAAATGTTTAGGTTAAAGAATTATGGCTGGACTGGCCTACAGATCTGATTCACTGCATAGGACCAATTTCTAAACAGAATTCTTAAGATGGAAATGGTTAATAATCATTCAGGATAGGTTTACAGTGTGATGAAAACTAACAAAGATGGTCCTACAGGCAGATCAAGGTAGTGACCTTGAGCGAGGGGAAGGTCGGGAAGCCTTTGGTGAGGAGCCTGTGAAGGAACACTGCCACCACGTGGCGCTTTGTGTAACCACAGGCGCTTTCCCAAGAAGTAACTGCTTTCCTGGCCACCACACAGGAGTGCTTACTGTTTCACATGTTCAGTACTTGTGCAAGCTAATGAAAAGAACGGAAAAGCGCCACGAATTCTTGGTGATGCAAAAGCAATTCAATATACTTTTAAAATAATAACTCTCTTTACCATGAGAACATCAATGAAATAAGCCACCTCGGCTCCGGCAACACGAAGATTGTTGACGGCGTGGATGTATTCCAGCGATCCGTTAATCCAGTCTACGTTAATGCAGTTCACATCTTCTGCTTTTAGCAACACCTGGGACAACGATTTAGTGTAAGTATTAAAGGAATGAGAGTGAAAGAAAACCAACTGATTCCATAATAAGCAATGACACTAGCAGGGCCTACTACATGCTAGATACTGTCCTAACCCTTTTACGTGTAGGAACTTATTTAATCCTCACTTACAGATAAGGAAACTGAGGCACAGGTAGGCTAATTAACTTGCCCATGATCACAGAGCCAGTAGGTAGAACCAGGATATGAATTCAGACAGCCCGATGCTAACACACTCTATCACTTATAAATAATTCATCACTTGCTATGCTAGCAGTGTATTCATCTTGAGTATACCATTAAGAGGGGAAAATTAATCTCTTGAAGTGAACTTAGAAATTTTTTCCCTTCATTAAATAAGAAATGGATCATGCCATTAGTTTATTTTCAAAAGATGAGAATTTACCAAAGAATAATTTTTAAAATAGGCCCCCATTATAATCTATGCAATTCATGATAAGTGAGAAAAAGTGGGAAATGGGTAAGGCATGTCAGGCCTTGGGACATGGACCACGTGAGTAAGGAACGAAGGAGTCCATGAATATGCATTAATGCCACACAAGGTACATTCGCCTTAAATGTAAGCGTTCCCGCTAAAAAGCGTGTTCCCGTCATACATTGCACATGGCCTGCTGCCATTTTCCGTCTGACTTCCACCCAGGTATGTTGATGCGGGTCATCCTGTCTGTTCTGAAGTGTGAGGCATGGATAGTTCGATGGTTAACCGCACTGATCTCCTGTTTCGAGTGAAGAGAGATTAAGATGAAACAATCATTCCATTTTAAATATTTAGATTCTAAATCTGCTCAAAAGACTTCCACTACAATTAATTTAAATATATATAAATATATAAATATAAATATATACATACATACATATATATATGTATATATATATTGATTTCAGAGAGGAAGGGAGAGAAATAGAAACATCAATGATGAAAGTGAATCATTTATTGGCTGCCTCCTGCATGCCCCCCATTGGGGATCGAGCCCACAACCCTGGCATGTGCCCTGACCGGGAATTGAACTGTGACCTCCAACCACTGAGCCACGCCAGCAGGCTAAATTTAATTTTTATCAACCTTCTTTAGTACACTTTTACCAAAGAAATAGTTACTGATACATACTGGGAAAGGGCTAAGAAACTATTCATGCGTGATGAAATGCAATACGTAAATATAATCATGAGGAAGAGAAATAAACATGTTTGGGTTTAAAGCAATGTTTGTAAGACAAGGTTGGGCCGGTTTCCATCAGAATTTCAGCAAGCCTTACTTTGGTACAGCACTTCTCACTGACCGTCAATGTAATTCATGGGAATTGTCTTATTTGAGACTTGGAAGCAAGCTACCTGGTAGCAAAATAGACTATCCACCCCACTTTCTTTCTTTTTTTAAAATATATTTTATTGATTTTTTACAGAGAGGAAGGGAGAGGGACAGAGAGCCAGAAACATCGATGCGAGAGAAACATCGATCAGCTGCCGCCTGCACACCCCCGACTGGGGATGTGCCCGCAACCAAGGTACATGCCCTTGGCCGGAATCGAACCCGGGACCCCTCAGTCCACAGGCCAACGCTCCATCCACTGAGCCAAACCAGTCAGGGCCCACCCCACTTTCTGAGTGAGGAATAGAAGTTAGAATCTTACCACGTAAAAGGCAACAGCATACTGAAGATAATTTTATGTGATTACATTAAATATTATTTTGTATTTCTTATATTTTGTTGCATTGGTTTTATAACCAAACTCTCAAAGATTTTAGAATATGATGAATTTAAGTGATTTTGTTATTAAGAGGATTAAGAGACCCAAGTACAAGCAATTCTATTAAGACAAAAATGAATTATCAGCAGATAGCAAGTCTGACAGTAGTGAATCCTACGACTGGAAAGCCACACATTCAGATACTTATGAAATCTAAACAAAGAGCCCATTGCGACCTGCCTGAGTTAGCAGTGACATGCCACTAATCGTACACCTCGCTGGCTAAAGAATCAGCAGTTGGTTTACATAGTAATTTCAATAGAGCTGACACTCGGATCTGTCTGTGTGGCAGGAACTGTTCTTGGTGCTTTACAGAGCAGCTCATTTAACTTCATGGCACAGTGAGGTGGGTACAGATTTTACGGATCAGGAAGGGGCACAATGACAGGTCAGCTCACTTGCCCAGAAGTACTGTCTGTAGCCAATGAGTCCTGAGCGGGGGTCAGACCCACGTGGTCTTTCTCTGAAGTCATGAGCTTAACCGCTGGCTTCTCAAGTTATGATCTGAACATCGTGTTCTCCCCTGACAGGGCCCAGACCAGATGCGGCATTGGCTGAGGCAGGAAATAAAATCAGTTGTATTCAGGCTTTATGGGAGCACTTACCTGCTAAGTCCTGGAACCCAGGGGCAAAAACATTTGTCCGTCTATGCATCTAAAAGCATCCAGATGTTCATTCCAACTCCAGCTGGAGCCCCCTAAACACCTACTATACTCCTGTTTCTACAGGGAGGAATTGGGTAGAAAAGATTTGCTTAGGCTGTCCCCGTCAAGAGAATAGTTTGAGGAAGGGGGACCCCAAGCAAGTCTCAAAGTGGCAATTGGACAAATACTGTGGGATCTGAGCATCCTCTGTTGTCACAAGGAGCCACGGAGGAATTTAATAGAGTAGAAAAGGTAGAAAAAACACTTTGTTCACTCTTCATTCCATCTGGCACACCCCTGAAAATGGCATACTAACCTAGAAAATGGGAAATGCCAAACATCGCGGGATCAAAAGAAGGCATCTGGGATTCCGATGCCACAAGGACCCATGTGGAGCTGGGTGCTCGGGCCTTTTCCCATCATTCTTATCCTGGAGGAGTCATGGAGCCCAGTAGGTACGAGATCAACTCATTCTACACCTGCTGACTACTTCACAGGTCATCTCATTTCCTGCATGTCAGGAACAGTCACCACTTAGGTATGTTCCAACCTTGACAATGGCTACAGGCACAGAAACTGGCAGACTTCTGCAAAATGTGCATCACCCCTCCCGTCGGCGTGAGCCACTCTAGGCTAAAGAGTCATGGATTCATGGGGGAAGTGGGTCATTTAATTCTTGCAGAAACGTAGCTGTGAAGATCTGTGAGTCTTAGAAACCTAGGTCATCGCACCAGGTCTCCCCTGACAATTCCTCCCTCGGGCAAAAGAGGATGTTAAACCTTTGCGTGGCTCACTTCTACTTTCTCATAAGCAAAGGTGGCTAAATTCGTACTGTAGAGCATTTGGGTCAAGTCTAGGATAATCCTTTTTTTTGTTTAAATATAACACCTTGACTCATCCTATGCCCCAGCTGTTGCCAAAAACACTTTAACAACAAACCCTCAGGCTTCTATCCATTGCAAACTTCAGCTACAGATCTAGTGTGTCACCCAGGATTCTTCCCTAATGGAAGGGAGTGGAGAAGACCCAAGGAACGTTGTTTTTATGGCCCCTTTATTAGTAAAGTACTTGGTTTCTGATGTTCTACAAGGTTCAAGTGCATGATCACTGTGCAGAAGGATGAAGGACCGACAAGTCCTCCGAAGACTGAGGGTCAAGACCAGGAGCTACAGCTAGTCCTGAATGGACACATGTACCCTGAAACTCCTAACCTACAGAGGTACCCCAAACATTTGTATTCAACATAGATTCTCTCTACAGTTTATCTTTATTTTTTAATCTTTACCCGAGGATATTTTTTCCATTGAATTTCAGAGAGTGGAAAGGAGGTGGGGAGGCAAGAGAGAGAGAAACATCGATGTGAGAGAGACAGATCGGTTGGTTGCCTCCCACACCCTGGTCAGGGCCAGGGTTCGAACCTGCAACCCTTTGGTGCAAAGGCCAAACGATCTAACCACTGAGCTATGCTGGCCAGGGCAATTCTCTCTACATTTTAAAAATCATGGTAAAATATACATAACATAAAAGTTACTGTTTAGGCCATTTTTACATGTGCAATTCGATGGCATTATGTCAGTCCCACTGTTGTGCAACAGTGACCACCGTCCCTCTCGGAACTTTCCCATCATCCCAGAGCTCAGGTCACAGATCACAATCTGTGTTGCAATAAAGGTATTTGTTTACATACCCCGTTTCCCCTAATATAATGCCTTTAAGACAGTGTCCCGCTTATTCAGTTTAACACGTACTAGGTACTGTGGCTTGATCACACTCTTACGTGTGGAAGGCTCTCAATTAATATATTAACTGGACAAGAGGGGACAAATGTAATCCTTTCAACAATCAAGATTTTAAAATACATATATTAAAACAAATTTTTAAATGGACAAAACACCAAATTTACCTTCTGTGAAACAACATGTGCAGCGCAATTTTCATATTTAAACACTAGGACAAATCGTATGAGAAAAAAATCTGGCTCACAATTGTAAAAAAGAAATACTTGCCTTAAAATCAATCTTTTATACAATATAGAAATGATGAATTATAGAACTGTACACCTTAAACCTATGTAATTTTTTTATTGTTGACACTATTTCAGGTGCCCTCCTATACCCCCCTTTGCCCACCTCCACCCAGCCCCTGCCACCCCACCCCTGGCCTTCACCACTCTGTTGTCTGTGTCCATGGGTTATGTATATACATGTTCCTTGGCTAACCCCTTCACCTTTTAGCCAGCCACCCCACCCTCTCCCCTCTCATCATGTGTCTATGCCTCTGGTTCTATTTTGTTCACCAGTTTATTTTGTTCATTGGATTCCACATTTGAGTGAGATCATGGGATACTTACCTTTCTCTGACTGGCTTATTTTGCTTAGCAAAATACTCTCCAGGTCCATCCATGCTGTCTCAAAGGGTCAGAGTTCCTTCCTTTTTACAGTGTGGTATTCCATGGTATAAATGTACCACAGGCTTTTTTATCCACTCATCTACTGATGGGCACTTGGCCTGTTTCTATATCTTGGCTATTGTAAATAATGCTACCATGGACACAGGGTGCATAAACCTATAAACTTTTTTTAACCAATGTAACCCCAATAAATTCAATAAAAAAGAAACCAACAGTTTCTGCTAGAATGAGTTACCGCATCTGTCTTCTGTGTCTATTGCTACAGCTCCTATTTTAGAATAATCTGTTGGAAGGCAGGAGCCAGCTTACCTGGTAGGCTATGCGGTTGCGCCTGGTGTAGAGCAGGAAGCGAGTGTTTATCTCTTCCGGGGACCAGGGCAAACCAGCGAACTGCCTGGACAGAGTCCCGGTCCATGGTAAACCATCTCGAAAGCACCCCAGCCTTTCATAGCAGATCTCTTTTCCTGTCACAGAAAGATGGCGTGTCAATGCTGTAGGAACCAGAGAAGCCGTGTTCCCCACTCTGAAGGTTCATTGAAATTAGTCTTCAAGTTGAACAAGTCTGACTCGGGGAGCGTCTCTTCAAAAAATACCCCTCCCCCTACTTATGACCATGACCGTGGAGATTGCAATGCTGCTGATGAGAGAGTATGGGCTTTGGAATCAGAAATTCCTGGCTTTGGGCAATTAGTTAACCTTTTTTGAGTTTCACTTTCCTCCTCGGCAAAAGGGAGATAATACCACTTACCTTACAGACTCGTTATGACTAAATGAACTATAACATGGAAGCCCCTTGTGACTGGGCCTGAGACATGAAGACATAAAATGAGATACTGTGCCCTGGCTGGGTAGCTCAGTGGATTTGACCATCATCCCAATATGCCAAGGTTGTAGGTTTGATCCCCGGTCAGGACATATAAACAAGCAACCAATGAATACATAAGTAAGTGAAACAACAAATCAATGTTTCTCTCTCTCTCTCTCTCTCAAATCAAGAAATAAAAATTTAAAAAATAAAATAAAATGAGATACTGTGTCTTCCCTGAGCCCCTGCCTTTTCTTGTTGAAAGGGATCTCTTTTGTCCCCAGAGCCTAGCACCATGGCCGGCACACAGTAGGAGTCTAATGTACATTTCCTGAGAGCATAAATAAGAGCAAAGTTTCACTTAGTTTTAACCAAGTTTCTTCTTTCCAGAGCTCACTTACTCACCTAAAGTGAGAGGCTTTGGGGAAACTAAGTCCTCATTTCTGTCATTCACTGACTCAAATTTATCCCATCACTGTGACCTTCTGTTTTCATTTAATACTCAAAACAAACAACTTCATTTCATGCTGTTTTATGGAGGTAGAGTTCAATTTATTAAATTATGATTATACTTTACCATTATTTTTTCAACTTATTATTGATCATTTATTCAATTTACGGTTATTTATAATCTATTCACTTTATGGTTATTTGTTAGTATTGGTGAGAACTGTTTGAAGACTTGAATTTGAGGACTTTCTTCTATCACTTACAAAATATAAATAAGCCTTTGATTCTCAAATCCACCAGCTTTTAACTTCAAAATTTTAGGAGATTTCACATTCTGAAGAATGAGATGCCACATAAATGTAAAGAGGAGGAATAGAAAATTAAACTTACTTTTAATCAAATAAATTTTTGTACATTTTTTAAAAAATTGTACAGATAAGCAACATCCCCTGCCCACCCCCGGCCACAGCCCTCTCCCCGGAGCAGACCCCCTGAAACATATGCAGGCCCTGTGGTTCCCCCATATCTGTTCATTGTGCTGACGCAACCAAGTTGCAAGTGATCAACTTTAGTCACCCGAGATCTATTAACCTGCTGCAATAATAAAAGAGGATGTAACCCACCTAGTCCCTGGACCAGCCCAAACCAGGGCAAGAGACAGAATCCAGGCCAGTTATTTTAACTGTGAGCGTTAATATAGGGATGGTTATTAATCAGGTTTTGGAGAAATGAAGACAGCAGGGGCCTCTGTGATAGCTCAGGGGGAGCAGCTGTCTGCTCCAGGGCTGGTGGAGAAATGGCAGAGGCTAAGTTACTCAAATGTGGAAACTTGGGGCTGCTAGATGGGGAGGGGGTGCTGGTTCCCCGGAGCTGGGGTTCGGGCCCCTGAGGAGGGGTGTTAGCTCACTATTGCTGGCATCATTGAATGGCTTCGTGAGTCTGGTTCTGGGAGTATCAGAAAACTGTAAACTGGAACCAACACCTGCTACTGTAATGACTGCACTGGAGTGAAAAGCCATTGATGAAAAAATGCAGACAGGCCCAGCCGTGGCTCAGTGGTTGAGCCTGGACCTATGAGCCAGGAGGTCGCGGTTTGATTAGGGTCAGAGCACATGCCTGAGTTGCAGGCTCATTCTCCAGTGGGGGCATCCCTGAGGCGGCCAATCAATGATTCTCTCTCATCATTGATGTTTCTCTCTCTCTTTCTCTCCCTCTCCCTTCCTCTCTGAAATAAACATATACAGTGGGGCCTTGACTTACGAGTTTAATTCGTTCCGTGACTGAGCTCGTAACTCAAATTACTCGTATGTCAAATCAAAAAGTGAACGAGTGAGACACGTGATGCTGGGCTGATGTTGTGGCGTTCACTTTTACGTTTGCTGCGCCAACTAGCGGTGGGGTATCTGAAGCTGGCTCGTAACCCGAATTTTAGCTCGCAACTCAAAGCAAAAAATCGGCCGAGAGACGGCTCATATCTCGAAAAACTCGTTAGTCGGGACACTCATAAGTCAAGGCCCCACTGTATTTAAAAAAAGAAAAGAAAAAAACGCAGACAGGATCCGGGAGCAAACAGGAGGGAACCCTCCCCCTCTCCCTCCTGGTCCGTCAGCGCCCCCCCAGGGTCCTTACTGACAATGCCTCTGAGGGCGTGTGCTAGCAAAGCAGGGCCTCAACTCCTCCTGCTGTACAATCAATAACAGTTTTCGGCTCACCTTTGGCTTCCGCTGTAAACTTAGTCACCTTCTATTCTGTGATCCGTGCCTGGCATTCCTTATAACCTGACTCCCTACCTTTGCAACATGAACTTTAAAGCGCGCCACCCCTCCCTCTGGTCTCCCTTTCACCTTCCCAGCTTGTCAGCTGCATTTCCGCATTCATGCTGTCAACATTGATAACATTCAGACTTTGTTCTGTCATCATAATTAGGTCTTCCATGTTCTGTCTGTAGGCTGACTCCAAAAATCAATCAACAGAATTTATATGATTATGACTAGAAATGTAAATATTTTTCTTCCCAGAGCCAGCTAGCGTGCTATAATTACATTTCCTTCTCCGCATGTCTATTGATCAGATCCCATTCCCTTCAAAGGAGAATATTTAAATGAATTCTCCTTTCTTGTCCATGAATTGCTCAAGATCAGGGTCGTTTTCGTTTGGTCCATATGGGGACCATGCCTTTCTTGTGCCGTTTTTGGTTTTCCTGGTTTCTCTGGTCGCCTTTGTTTTCTCTTGTTGGAAGTGTAACTGTGCCTCCTTCAATATGTCCCTGGTATAGTGTGGCTCTTCCTCAATCTATCTCCTGCCTGCCATCCATCCTGTTTTTTCTCTTGAAACACACATATGTCCAGCTCTGATTTAGGGCAATGATTTCACATGTGGATTTGGCCTTCCTAATACAAGCTTCTGTTTTTCCTAGAATGTCCTGCTGCCTTTATTTTTTGCATTCCATGGCTTTACCTCCAAGTACTCAACTACATTATCCAGTCTATGGAAGAGCTTGGATTTCGAAATGAAGATTGTTGTAAATGTTGCATGTTGTCTATGCTAGTAACTTTCCAGGGTTATTGGTCACCATCCTTTTTTCCATAAGGAAATAGCGCAAAGAGGGCATAAAGTTGGAAGACAGTAGATGTGATGAAGGAGACTGATCGACACCATAGGTATTAAAGCCACTTAGGGAAAAATAACATTTTTGCTATAAAATTAATAACTTGAAATTGGACCAATAACTTAAATGGCCAATATAACAATATTGAACTAGGATGGTAAGAGCAGACAAAACCAATAACTACTACATAGTAATTACATAAGCAGTTCACAGTATAAGGGGCACAAGTTGGTGAATATTGAGTTGTATAAGAAATGCCCACAGACTGTCTTGGCCGATGTGGCTCAGTTGATTAGAACGTCATCCATGCACCCAAAGGTTGCAGGTTTTATGTCCCATCAGGGCACATTCCCAGATTGTGGGTTTGATCCCCAGTTGGGGTGTGTATGGGAGACAACCAATCGATGTTTGTGTCTCACATCAGTGTTTCTCTCTCTCTCTCTGTCTCTCTCTCTCTCTCTCTCTCTCTAACCAATGAAAAACATATCCTCAAATGACGATTTTAAAAAAATAAAGAAAAAAAGAAATGTCCACAGAATAATATTCCTTCTCAAAATCATGAAAAAATGGAAAGAAGTCAATGTGGAAGTTCTAATCAGCATTATCCCCTTCATTCATTCATTCATTCATTCATTCAACATTTACTGAGCATCTACTGTGAGTCAGGTACTGAAATTGGAAATGTGTACTTTCTCATTTTCTATTACATACCCATCAGAAAAGTGAAGACATTGGATAAGTTATTTGACCAACGCCATAAGGCTAGTAAATGGCAGAACTCAGAGCCAAGTAAAGACTATCCAGTAACTTTTACATCATTGGAAATAGATTCTTCACAACTGCTCTTCAGATTAATCCAGTATTACAAAATGGATGCATTTTCCTTAGGTAATTTTATGACAAATAAATCAAGATATAAACAGAACCCATATTTCAAAGTCCATGTCAATTACATTTTGGATGTGAATACACTCATTATTTTTAAGGGATTTATTATAAGCTATGAGTCTTACCTGTTGATGGGCCAAAGAATAAGAGTGCAGCAATCCAAATTCCAAACATCTAAGTTGATTTTTTTAAATCACACAAAAAATCTTCTTGAAGATTTTGACTTGTAAAATCCCCTCGCTATAAAAACTTCAGCAGTTTTCTTCAAAATGACACCACTCACTAAGTTCTAGGTCCAGAAGAGCAGAGCTAACTGCACCCTGAATTCTATGCCCTGCAAAGTGAATGTGCTGTAGCCGATGCCTCGCTTCACATTAAGCCATAATTAGTGGGGTGTGTCTTGCATTGTGCGGCTGGTAATTAAAACTTCTGAGGTTTTTCTGTTTCATCATTAGTAATATTTTGGGTAGGCACAGACTGAGTCACTCTTAAAAGTTATTTTAAGGCTTTAGGATGCTACACAACAAACATTTAAGAGGTAAAAATGTTCCAAATCAGGATTATACACGTCGAGCAAATTTCCCCTAACTCATTTCTGAGTGCAAAGGTATACTTCATACAAACAGACCCTGCTAAGATGTGAGTTAAATGATGGACATGGCTAACCTGCCTGTCCTACCTGTGGGGTAATACGTCCCAGCAGTTGCTGTCCTCTACTCCAGAGCCCGATCACCTGGGTCCAAATTCTGGTTCTGCCACTTCTGAGCAGTGACTTTGGGCTAGGAAGCCTAGCTGAGCCTGTCCTCCCCTGTAAAACGGGGATAATCATGGTTCCCAGGTCATAGGGTCGATTGGGTGATTGAATTACTTATTCTATGAATGGTACCTAGTATATAGTAAGTACTACATTCAGTGTTAATTTTATTACTGTCATTTTTCAACTCTGCTGATGGTTGTAAGACCAAATTTATGTTCCCCTACAACTAAGTACACCTTTACATCGTTGTCCATGGACTTCATCATACACCTGGATATACAGCAAACTTGCCTCTCCGGCTGCTACATGAACTTAAAGTGAAGAGCAAATTCAACCCACAGATATCCTTCGTCTGTGGCTCAATTTCTAAATGTTCACAAAAGAAGGTATTTCTTGGTTTTCCTTAACTTTTTTTACTCTCACCATAAAAACATGAACATGTTTAAGTACTTATGAGGCATTCAGCCATTCATACAAACCTGGTTACATTATGCAAGAATCTAAGAAGAGATTATGAACAAGAGCTGGTACACATTGTGGGTGCTTTGTTTGGTTGAAATAGCTCCCGGAACTCAGAGCCGCCAGTCCACCTGGCATTCGGATGGGCAGTGGTTAGGGAATGGACTGCACAGCAGCACCGAGCTTGTGCCTGGCCCATTTAGTGCCCAGTAACTACGCCATGGAAAAGACACGTTCTAAGAGCCTCGCCAGTTACAACTGGTCATATTTTCCAAGCCGTGTTTCAGGAACCAATGGTTTCAGCCACACATGCAGGCTCAGCATGACTAGCATAACGTCAGTACACCTCTGAGAAGACTGCATCCCAAGGGACAGGCACGATGCCTGAACTTAGTCGGAGTTTACTAAACATTTTTAAATGAAAAAAAAAAAAGCAAAGATCGACAATGATAATGTAGGGGAAGCAAAGACAGAGTGAAATACCAAGAGAAATACTTGAGTGAGCTTAGCACTCATTGATTCATTTACCAAATAGCTGAGAGGCTACTCCATGCCGGGCTCTATTCCATTTTCTAGTCCTACCTCAGTGGACACAAGAGACAATAAAGTCCCCACCCTCTTGGATATTACAATGAGGGGAGCAACCAATATACACAGTAAACAAGTAAATTGCGTCTGGGAAAAGGTGGCTTAAGTGTGATGGCAGTAAGCAAAGAGCATAAAGGAGATTGGGGAACTGGGGATTTCATTGGAGGAAAGGTTGCTATTAAGTTGGGTGATCTGGAGAGGCCTCATGGAGTAGATGACATTTGAGCGAAGACTCAAAAGAGGTCAGGGCGGTATCTAAGTGACTGTCCAGGCAGAGGGACAGGTAAGCCGAGGCCCTGAGTCAGGAGTGTGTCTCGTGTCTTTGAGGAAATGCAAAAAGGCCAGTGTGGCGGGACCAGGCGGAGAGAACAGGAGAAGAGTAGAGGATGAGGTCACAGAGGACCTTGAGGGCAGAGTGGGTAAGGCCTTATTGGTCGTTGTAACAACTTCATCTTTTCCTTTCAGAGAAAAAATGCCAGGGGAGGGCTCTGATCAGAGAAGGGACCTGTTTGCCTTTGGTGTAACAGGGTCATTCTGGCTGCTCTGCTGCCAATAGACCGAAGTAGGGCAGGGGTGGGCCCAGGAAGACCAGTCTGAGGCCGGTGCAGTGAGCCAGGTGAGAGATGACGGTGGTTCGGACCAAGAGGGTAGCAGTGGAGGTGGTGAGACTCAGGACACAGTTTGGAGATAGAGCCAACAGGGTTTCCTTTGTTATCATCTCTTCTTTAAGTGAGCACTCGAAGAATGCAGTGCCAGAGGGGAGTCCTCAGTGCATTTTGCAGAGGTAGAAAAATTTACTCAGCTTTTCTCCCTCTTTTATTCTTGAATAACAGACTTTTCTGTCATGAATAATTCTTATGATGCAAGTCAAATGGAATTTAGTGGCGTCATCTACCCGCTCTGGCTGTGTTCCTTTTGAGTACATGGAGGGGACAATTCCACCTCGTGGTATTTGTGTGAACTAAATACAGATAAAAGCATGTCTCTTAGAAATGAACTGCATAGACCAGAGGAAGCCCTCAGCAATAACAGCCGTTTTTATTCCTCCCCCTGAGGAATGGGTTGAGATTGGCCTGAAGAAATTATTTCAGGGGTTTTCTTTAAAAACTGTCTGGTACGTGGAGACTCCATTCTCTGGGGGAATCCCAAGAAGTCTGCATTTTATTTCATCTAAAAAATACATTTTTATTGATTTCAGAGAAGGGAGAGAGAGAGAGAAACATCAACGATGAGAGAGAATCATTGATCGGCTGCCTCCTGCACGCTCCACACTGGGGATTGAGCCCGTAACCTGGGCACATGCCCTGACTGGGAATTGAACTGTGGCCTCCTGGTTCCTAGGTCAATGCTCAACTGGCTGGGTGGAGTCTGCATTTTATTTATTTATTTATTTAATTAATATATTTTTATTGATTTCAGAGAGGAAGGGAGAGGGAAGAGAAAGATAGAAACATCAATGATGAGAGAGAATCATTGATCGGCTGCCTCCTGCACACCCCCTACTGGGGATTGAGCCCACAACCCAGGCATGTGCCCTTGACCAGAATCAAACCTGGGACCCTTCAGTCTGCAGGCCGACGCTCTATCCACTGAGCCAAACCAGCTAGGGCTGAAGTCTGCATTTTAGAATACTGTAGTTATATCCTTGTTTCAAAAAGGTTCAAAGACAGGTGGACATGGGAAGGGTCTAGGACAGTGATGGCGAACCTTTTGAGCTCGGCGTGTCAGGATTTTGAAAAACCCTAACTTAACTCTGGTGCCGTGTCACATATAGAAATTTTTTTATATCTGCAACCATAGTAAAACAAAGATTTATATTTTTGATATTTATTTTATATATGTAAATGACATTTAACAAAGAAAAATTAACCAAAAAAATGAGTTCGTGTGTCACCTCTGACACGCGTGTCATAGGTTCGCCATCACTGGTCTAGGAGATGAAAGAAAAGAGAGAACCACAGGTCCAGGCCCTGGGATGACAGAGGAGAATGGGGTTCCCCTGAACCTCATAGTAGATAGTGAATGCACTGAAAGTGTCACTAAATCCCCAAAGAGTGAAGAAAAATCAGGAAATGAAGAGGCAATGAGTTTGGTAGAGACATGTGATGGTAAGTTTCAGAAATGCCTAGTATATGGCAATATTACTTTGTCAACAATAAGATCTCTAAAGCCCAGGAATGACCATTCTCCCTGCATTTCTGAACCCAGACACTGGTGAAATATCTACAGGAGGAAATGTTGTTATAAAGTATTACTTTGTGAACAGTAGACTATAATTAGATAGTCATCACATACTTGTTAAATTACACACAATAAAAATACACATAGTTCAACACAATTCATTATAATTACAAGTTACTCAAGGCTACTTGAAGTTCCCAAGTAGCACACTTTTCACTAATAGTAATATATTATACTAGAATGTGGTATATTAAAATTACACTTTGAAAAAATAATTTAAATTCTTCCATGTTCAACAAAGAAATCTGAATGATATAATGCAAAAAAACATCACCATCCAAGAGGCGATTGCAAGGAAAGGAGAGGGTAGGAGGATTTATACCTGTGCCTAGAATTGGCAAATTTATGTGTGGGATGGCAACACGATTTAAAAAGGCCTGAATTCTAAAAGCAGGCTCTCACAGAAGGAATATAGTGACTTGGAGCCTGGCCTTCAGAATTGGATTTGGGCTCAAAGCCAGGCAGGAACTTTGTTCGCTGTGTGATCTTTGGCCACTTATTCAACATCTCTGAGCCCCAGATTCCTCATCTGTGATATTGAGATTATGTACCGGGGGGGGGGGGTGATATTGTGAAGATGAAATGAGATCATGCTTGTGAAGAGCTTAGCCCAACATGAGGTTTACAGTAAACATTCAATAAATAGGAGCTCTAGTAATTATCATTATTTTCTTAGGTCCAACCCCCTCTCCTGCTATGTGTGGAGTGGTACTCAATGAGAGTCATTGAGAGAAGGCTGGGCTACTTTTCCAAACAAGTCCAGGAGAAAGGCAGGACTGGAAGCTGGAGTCATCGACGGGTACGTCTTCTGTGGGAGAGTAATGACAATAGGGAAGTCTGGATGTGAACAGTTGTGTAATTATGAAGGCATGGTCGGCCCGATAGAAATGAACAACAGGGAGAGAGAAGAGAGTCATAGAAAACAGGCTCATTAGGAAGCACAATTAATTAGTTATATATAGATGAGGAAAGGGATGATTGCTGGGTAAGGATTTCAGGAAGAGGAAGAAGAAAAGTATGCCCAAGTACAGGTAAGCAGAAGGTGACTTACAGGTGAGCGCGCAGAGGGAGGCAGCTGATTGGTTTCAGTGCAGATAAAACTTGTTCCCATGAGGTTCTTGCATCATGACCAACAGCATTCCTGACCTTGGCTGGAAGTTCTGTCATAGACTTCCCCTCACCACAAGGAAACCAGAGCATGAGTAGATGAGTGCAGATCCAGCCAAACAACTCAAATGCTCATCATGAAAGGATCCCCATGAGTTTCAAGGCTCC